CATGCTTCGAATATGAAGGCTATCAGACATTCTATAATGGCTTGCAATTTCAATAGACATAGCTTGACTAATCTTGACATAGGCAATATTTGTACCTGTACATCAAATACCTATAATTTGGCATATAATAGCGTAGGAAACAATGGCATGTTGTGGCTGAAGGTAATTTATACTCATAAAGTAGGTGAAAAATGCTGTAATTATACTCTGAAGAATAGTAGGCTTTCAAAGAATCCCTTAATAATTTAATCTGATTTGCAATTTCACTCAGCAAGCAATCATAATTAAGTCAAAAACGCACCAATTACACTAATTCCTACTCTTAGCTACCATCGAGGTCAATTCACGAAGCTCTTCCAACCACCTTACGCATATCAATGGAAAGTCAATTTGCATTACAATAATAAAATTAATTTAAGGAAATAAATAATTAAAATATTAATAACACATATATCTATGGGGTTCTCCTTCGCTATAATTTAAAATATAGTACGTTTTTAATTTCAGGTATCCTTAAAGTTTCCTCCGGCTTTCAAATAGGAACTTGTGAATTGATTGAATCTAAGAAACGAGGCAGATAGAGCTGAAAGAAAGGAGCACATGCTGTTTCTATCGATCTCCTATTCTATTACAAATAAATAAAGAATGTCATAAAAAGTTAATTTTTTTGTAGATTTTATGGAGGATTAAGTTGAGGCAGTATTTGTAATTTTCTTCCCTTCTCAAATCCTCTGCACTCGACTACTCTGCTTTCTTCTAATCTTAGACTTTACTAAATATCATAGATTTACACTCTAGTTGTAAATCATTATAATGACAAGTTAACTGAATAAGATTATATTGCTTGAGCTTTGATCTGAAAATTGAAAAATGTCTACGTCTCATTTAATTAGGATTTTCATTAAGTAACTCTGACGTATTTTGCAGACTAAGCTTAGTTCTCACTAGTAGTGGGTTAACCTTGTTCTCGCAAATTGGTCTTGTTGTCAAGGCGACTTAATTGAAGGCACCTTGTCCGAAGTCCTCTCCCATAATAGTTATCATGATACCCGGCATCAGGCCGTGAACTTGGTACATTCTCTGACTTTTCACCGGCATCATCAGTGAGTCTTTCCATTCTCAGCACCAAGCTACAACTCGTCAAAGAGACAAGTGAAGTCAATCCGTCGACCAACCTTTTGCCGAAACGGCTACACTTTCGCTCCTCTTTCTGTTCTGGCCCATCCACTACTCACCATCTTATCTAAATCCCGCTCTATCACAAATGTGTGCCCATTTGAGGCAAATTTGGCCTAATCACATAACACCTGCCATTCACAATGGCCCCCTGACTTTTAATCGGATAATCCGACTCGATCCCCTTATCCGGATCTCTATCATGGTCCCATAGATCCGTTTCTTATCTTTCTGGTTGACCGATTTTACTCGGTTCCAGTCCCTGTGTGCCTTTCACTCCGGGCGCTATTTCTCAAGGTCCTAGAAGCACGTACACTGACGCCTCACTGAGCAAAACCTCTAAGCTATGATCCACATTCCCGCATATGTTAGGCATTGCCTTCACATGCCATCTCCTTGATTAAACCCATGTTACCTGAGCAAAATGTTTAGGCCTTCCTCTAGTCGCATGCGGTATCTCAAGTGGATTTCTAGTACATTTTGACCTTAACATCGAATTTCTGTGACGGTTGCGCTTATCCGTCGCTATAGTTACGTAAAACCAAGGCCCACACAGTTGTAATGGCTTCTTCAAGCAGACCTGACTCACCGCGGCCGTCTTAGCTTGATTTCAGAAATTCCTCTACGCAATCCCTTTCCTTCTGGTTACCGATATATCCTTGAACCAGGCGTCTCCTTTTTGTGGACTTGTCGTATTCCTTATTTTTCGGAAACATCAGCTTAACTCATATCATTGTGGGAAAATTCTTCTTCTACCAGTCTTTCATCACCTTAAACGAAATTATGCGAATATATCTCATATTACTGATTTACTGGTAGACACGAAAATACTAATTAATTCGAAAAATAAAGTATAGTAGTCAATTGCTATAGCAGATATACATTTGCTTCATCGACAATTCTACCAAAAGAATATGATATGGCAAAAAGGCCTGGCCTTGCTTGAAAAGTAACATTTGCTCTGTGACCCAAAGGTCGCTTGTGGCAGTGTAGCTGAGTGGTTAGCGTGTCAAGCTCCCATCCTGTACTGTCGAGGTTCGACTCCCGATGAGGGGGTTGATAAGGCCGTTGCGAGGTCGAAACTTCAGTCCATTGGTGCCTGGATGAGAACAACTTTTGGGAAAGCAAGGCTATGTGAAATTCAATGAAAACCTCTGCTCAACTCATATCATTGTGGGAAATTCTTCTTCTACCAGTCCTTCGTCATCTTAAAGGAAATAGGGTAAATACATCTAATACTACTGAATGAGTGGTAGTCACGAAAACAATACTTAATTCGAAAAATAAAGTAAATTTTCAATATGAGGTGTATCCACCCAATTTCGTTTAAGGATGGGAACAACTTTTTGGAAAGCAAGGCTATGTGAAATTGATTGGAAGCGTCAGCTCAACTCACATGATTGTGGGAAAATTCTTCTTTTATCAGTCCTTCAGCACCTTAAACGAAATTGGGTGAATACATCTCATATTGTCGTATTCTTGTTTTTTTCGAGTTTGCTTGGGCTATAGGCAAGGTTAATACTACCTCTGTCCTCCTCCAACCTTCAGTTAATTAAGTTTTTTTCCACAAAGATGTCACTGGACTCTCTAATATTCCGCTTCCTTGTGTCTTCACTGAATGTTCCCCTTATTTTTTTGCCTTCTAATTGACCTTAGGTCAAGTATGTGCGATGTGTTCCTCTAATTCTGATCTTTCGGTATCCATTTTCCTGTAGAGCCTTTGATGTTCCTAGATTCGTACGCTGATTTTTCTCCCAATTTCGCCAATATATTTCTGTGTACAAGCGCCGCATGCTATGCAGTAAACTCCCGAACAATCTAATTTGTTATACCATATCATGTTGTGTGGGTAGAATTGTGAAGAGTGCTGTTTTTTCCTTCTTGGTCGCCTAAATATTCCATTTTCCTAATATTGGCCGTAGATTTTTAGTTAGTTCGCAGGAAGACAGGCATATCCATTTTTCTGAATTCTTCTTCCTCCTTACTATTCTTTCGTAGTCCGTGTTTTCCACCATCGACTTTTCATGGTTCGTATGTTTATTTGCATAGCTCTGCTTGACTAGCTGTTGCTGAGGTATATCCAAGTCAATTTGTCCAATTCTTCATCCCAGAATTGAGCATCCGTTAAACGTAGACTTCTGGTGCTCATGCTCCTTATTATTCCTATCTTTAGCTCGTAATTGTGATGAGACTGGCATAACACTTCTTTCTTAATAATTTCTTCTTGAGTGTCCAATTAGAGCGATAAACTTTAACATCAAGGAAAGGTAACAGCTCACCTTCCTCTACTTCCATAATGAATTAGATTTTTTCATCAATCTGGCTAGCAAACTTCAGAGCATCTTCCACATGTCTAAAGCGCGAAGTTATCGTAGCGGTGACGCCTCACTGAAGACTCACTAATGCCGCCGATTATGATGCCGGCGAAGCGTCTGAAAATATGCCAAGTCGCGGTCTGATGCCGGGAATCATGATAACTATTATGGCAGCAGACTTCGGACAAGGTGCCTTCACCGAAATCGAAGGAGATTGCCTCGAAATCAGCGTCAGCATGAATGTTCCAGTAAAGCCAATCGACAGCTGGTCAAGAGGAATCCATCGTCGTCTTGTAGTAGAACCGACCTTCGAATCTCTTCATCCAACACTTTAACTCGAAATGCAAGTAAGCTCAACAAGGTGCCTTCAACCAAGTCGCCTTGACAACAAGACGAAGTTGCGAAAATAAGTTTAACCCACTTCTATATATCGGAAGAACACGGCGACCATACCCGTAGTCTCATTTTCTTTGCCTTTATATCCTATTTCTTACTTTTATTCATTCTCACAAAATTCCCTTCTTGCACTTATGTAGCATCTAACTGTAAATTTCAATTCTTTAATTATCATTTTTCATATGCTGCTAGCTCTTTTACAACTTGCCATTAGAACCTATCAATTCTTTGCCTAAATTGATTAATAATATGCCAAAACATACTGTCTAAATCATTTAGAACTTTCTAGATGGTATATTCACTTTCTACTTCATAAGCGAACTGACGATATTTTTGTTTTCTCATAGGCGTTTCAGAACTACGAAATTACGATTGGCTTTAGCGACTCATCCCATCACTGTTCAAACTTTATATTTGCTCAGCTAAACGGTGCTCAACCTACTCTCCCATCCACAGCTTTTTTCGAATCTTGTGATCTAAAGTTCATTTTCATGTATAAGGCCTTTTTCTACCAACTTCATACTCTGCCACTCAAACCACTTGCTACACAATACACACCTCTCACTCGGTATACCAATGCCGTACCCCTTAACTCCGAATGTTAATTAACTCAAGGTCTGCGTTCTTCACCAAATCCACAGGCCTTTGTGTTAACCCTCCGACACCAATCGGAAGCCGACTGTGAGATACCAAAAATTATGTAAAATAAAAATCTTCCAGCAGGATTGATGCATACATGCTTTCATCCTCTTGTGGTCGACGACATACGCTCGTGTGTAACTCATTTTGCACTATCCCGTTGCCACCTTCCCGATGATGTAGCGTCATCATACCTTGTCAGACCACTCCTGTTTAGTGCTCATGTTTGGATCTCTGAGAACAAGCATTAGAATGCAAACAAGCTTCTTCAATTGTTAATGTTTCGTACATTTTGTCTAAAGAGGCGAGTGGAAGGGATCATTAACTTGGCCTCTTTGGAGGCCAAAATGAATTACGGTTGAGATACGACCATATGTTTATGCAATTAAGTCTACGCTGCTTCACTGTGCGACTCTGATGAATCCTATGCGCGCTTTTGTCCAGCATATGGCAGCCATCGTCAGGGTAGAAAACTATATTTCAGGCTAATTGACAAGGCTTCAAGACAAGAACCAATACAAGAAATTTATTGTTTTATGCTTAGTGAATTACTGTAAAACAAGATGTCTTGCTCTTAAGATGTCCCTCACATGACAGACGAAAGCTTAGTACAAATTCATCGGACAGGGAGCATAAATCTACAGTCCCACCCTCGAGCCAATCCTCTTTCGACTTCAGATGACGCAAATTTACGAAGCCCTTTCACTCTCCCTTTAAACGAAATTAATGGTAATCTAACATCAATCCATTATGGAATTCTTCATCTGCACCAAAGTCATACAAAGACCGTTTCGTTAAGTGCTCTTATCAACATCAATGGAACTTTGTCAAGTTTACTTCGAATCGATTCTGTGCCTTTTTCTTGTGTCTCTATGCCTCAGTTGATCATGGTATATCTTCTGCTGGATAACCACACACCAAATCGTTTCAGTTCTTCCGCTAATATCCTGTCCCTTCTGTGCGGTAAACGCAAATCGACGTTAAGATCACATTGCTATATTCACCTTAAAGAGCTATACATTTACACTTTATTTTCTCGTCCTATAATTGTCCACTTGGCCTCAGATCAGGTCTTTTATTCAATGCATCAATCAATCAATTTTATGCTTCTATTTACACTTATCCTTCCTCTCTATTTTCATGCTTTTGATCCTATTTTTTGATTTAACTTAATTATTCATCCACGAAATCGCAAACATATTTTGCCATCTTATATTTTCTAATTGACATTTTACATTCTAGCTTTATTTGTATTGCTGTTCATACAAAGAAGGAACGTGTCCGGCTCAATGCTGTCATAGATTCTCTAGCTGTCGTTTCCTTATGCATTATATATCTATGCCTTTTATCCATTTACCTCTGGCACAGCTTTACTTGAGCCAAGCCTTTTAAATATGGATTTATGGCAGCATTACAATAATTTACTTGCAGCAAAAATGCACTTGGTTAGCCATACCAAAATAATTGGGTGACTTAAATTTCGAGATTAGCGCTCAATTAAGAAGTGTCGGGCTACTTGTCCTGAGCACAATGAATATATTTTCGTTTCATTATTGATGTAAACAGAAACAATCTGTTTTAACAATGTGTCTATACTTTCAACACAAGAGGTTGTAAATCGTATGTG